TTGCGTCGCTGTGACACAACTAGATGCCCCTTGTCGCTTGCCGAGCTCGGCGATGTCCACGTGGGCGGCAATTTCCGAGGAGAGCTTCGTCGGGGGGACACCATGTGAGTCGGAGATGGAGACGTTAGCAGTAGGACCGTCCTGCGCTTCGACATCTTCATCGCCCGCGCTGATCTCCCGACTAGGGTATGGTTAGAAAAGGATTCGGTTTCGAACAGAGAGTTATGAACAGGTGCCCGAGGGAGGTCGTTTCTAACCGTGATTATTAACTGTTATTAACTCTGGTGTTATTAACTGTTATAAAGTTTTTCGAACACCGCCATGGTTTATTAACAGTCGTATCGCATCGATGATCACCACGCCCAGTTCGCTCTCCTCTCCTGCGTCCCTTCTCCCTCCATTGTCTTGCCTAGCTCGCCATCTGCTATGCTATCCTCATCTGAATTATTGTCTCCATCGTCTGGATCGTGCAAAAGCGTACGCAAGACTTTCGCCCGGAGGTCGACTTCGCCGTCCACCTTGAACTCCATGTCTTGCATCTGCGCTTCACGTTCGACCTCCCGATCCAACTTACGCTGTGTCTCCTCTATTTCCTTTGGCCACTCCTCGAAGAACTGATCGTCATCAGTCTCCTCTTGCTCGTCTTCGCGGCGTCTGATGGCCTTCCGATCGAGGTTTGCCCATCTGACTGTCGGTCGCGTACGCGGCGGGTCCGGATAGTCCTATATTGTTCCAGGTATGTCAGTTCAGCATCGTAATTTCAGTTTTGGACTAGTACTGTAGCTGTACCTTTGCCAAATACCATTGCCGTACCTGAATCATGTCGACAAGCGTCCCCACCTGTTGCCTGTTGCGGAGTGATGAGTTGAACCATGTGAAGTTGGATGCGGTGCGTTCGTCGGCCATAGAGTTGATTGCGATAGAATACAGCTTGATTGCAAGCATCTTGAACCTGTTATTAGTATTAATAGCGGAGTGGCCGAGACGCACTCACAGCCAGGACACGAGCATGTGCGTGGCTTTCGAGATTCTGCCACCACTCCAGTACCGGCCGCCCCGATTCTGACTCTGTCTCTTCGAGCGGGGTGTCGAAGGGATACTGACCATGGGCATAAGCCATGAGCTGTGCTCGGAGCTCTTCCGCCGCTCGCGCTTCACCTAATTTCTTGATTAGGGGATGCGCGTTGCGCACAATCTCTTCCTGGAGCTGTCGCTTCAAGTACTCCTTGGCGCGCCGGTATGCTCGTGGTATTGGCGCATTTTCGCTGTCATCGCCTTTGTCTCCAGTGGCCTTCTGCTTTCCCCGTGCACGAGCGGAAGGGATTATGATCACGTTTGCAAGGGGGTTCACCGGTTTTCGTAAAATGTCTGACCTCGAATGTTCTGCAGATCCCAAGTCAGTCAATGCACTGTGTCTGATTAGCATACAGGGCACGTACTGGGATGGAGGAAAAATGCGGTGAAATATACATCGGTAGGTGTGGAGTCAATGATCTCCTTGTAACGTGTGTTGACGATAGTTGTGACCTTCTTGATTAGCGATTGTGAGATTCCTGTCTCGAACTCGGGGCGCTGGAACAAGTCATCTAATGTGGAGACGATACCAAGCCAGAAGACGAAGACATCGGCAGCGGTTGCATCAGTCGACTCCAATGCTTTGAGGGAGCGAGCAATAGGTGTGAGAATAGTGGTGTACATGAACAGATCGCGCTCGAAGGACATTGATGCCATGTTCCCTCCTTGCAGAAGTGCTGTATCAAATGTCGCATTCTTACATAGATTACGACATGTCAATGGCACTCAAAAACTCTATCTCAGGTTCGTTGACATACCTTCAGACTGATCTTCCCACTGCTGACTAGTTGCCGCATCACTGGGAGAGACAATTTGAGAGACTCTGCGCTCCAATAGAATGTCGCAAAACGCGTCCTTCCGACGCTCTGTAGACCACGAGCAATTCCTTCCTCCATCCGAGCATCTGTAAGTAAAGCCGCAGCGAGGGGTGACTTCCTGAAGTACTTCACGATCTTCCGCAGGTTTGATATCATCTGTGCACAGACATGCATGAGCCGAAACGCATAAGTGAGTGATGTGATCTACTAGATATACCGTCTTGAAATCTGACAGATTCGTGATGTCCTTTGACGTGTTGTGGAGATGGTGACAGCAGTCGAGCATATTGATAAGACCCGGAATACTCTTTGCCAGAAGCTCGCGTGCCTTGCGTGTGTTCCCCGTGTTGTCTGAGCAGATGCCCGAGAATCGCTCTATACCAATTTCGGACATCATCTAACCAGCTAATGTGAGTTCACTAGCTATTGAAGTTGATGTGTACGGGTTGCACTGACCTCGAAGATGAGCTTTTCGAGATACTCTGCCGTATGTCGCTCCTTTGAGCACTCGTCTCCATCAATGAAGTAGACACGGCGATCGGGTGTGGTGATGTGGATCGTGTAGACAGACTGCGGTCGATTGATGGTCCCGCCGTCATACGTCAAAGTGAGATTGATCAGCTTCTTCAGAAGTTCAACCTGTAGAGTACGTATCTGAGCAGCCTCTGCAGGGATATGCGAGTTGATGAATGTTGAGGATGAGGTTGGCTGGTACTTTGCGTTGCCATCGTGCCACATGTCCTTCCACTCCTTCGAATCGACAACGCTCGGAACAATGTTGCGGATGCAGACAAGCTTCATAATACGGAAATCGATCCTCTGCCGTAGCTCCTCACGACCAAGCGCAACGGTGCTGTCTAGGTACGTTTGCTTGCTGTTCGAGAGCTTCTTGCCTGTCGCCTGACTGTGGGAGATAGTTGCGAGAGTGTGAAGTGCCTGGATCTCTGAAGCTGACGGTGTTTCGGACACCTGCTCGGTACCCGCCGGATGGGGATCGGACTTCGATTTGCGTTTTCCCACCTTCGCTCCAAGGGATTCTGAGGCTGACCACTTGATTGCCTTAGCTCGAAGCTCAGAGCCAAGCTTGCGGCAGCGTGTTGAGTGTCGGAGGAGCCGTTTGCTTTGAGGATGGCCAGCTTTGAACCAGTCGCATCCCTCGCCCACGCAACGGTAGAAGTGGCCCGCACGCTCCGGATGACGACATCTGATTGAGAGAGCTACATTCTGCTCGTTCCGTGGCCGCCCTCTTGTTCTGGACTTCCTCGGAGTCCAGGGAACATCAATGAGATCACTCCGTCTGATACCCTTTGGTACGTCTAACTCGTCATCCTTGGACAACGTCTAAGTTGAGTTGTATCAATATGGCATTGAGGCTTATCACGTACGGAATCAACATTGTCACCACCCCTATCAGATTCATCATCGCTGGAGGAGATGGCCTCGTGTTTGCGCTTTAGAGGAGGAGGAGGAGTTACAGATGTCTGCGACTGCGGACACGGTGGGAACTAGACGTCATAGTACTAGGTATTCGGAAATGACTTCTTATAGCAAGATTGTCACTCACTGGTTCATCCGCCGTTGAATATGCCACTTTAGCTCCTTCCCAGATGTCCTCGATCCACTTTCCGAGTATGGCATCTGACTCGGGATTTTTGCAGTGACGTTGATAGGCTCGTAGTGCATCTACTAGTGAGCAGACACCCTTTCCCCTCTCGGCAATTGGCAGTACCCCTTGTGACCGGGCTTCCCACCCAAAGACAACCTCAAGAGCATGGTTGATCGCTGCATCGGGTGTCCCGAAAATATCGACGTCGTCAGGGTCAGGTACATAGTTTGCAAATTGAAAGCGGGAGTCCTCTAGTTTTGGTTCCGGAAGTGAGTGAGGCAAGTTCTCAAGTACGCGGCCCAGTTCATCAAGACGTTCAGATATGGTAGAGCCTAGGGGGGGCATTCTAGCAGGGTAGCGACAGAGTTGAGGAGTCAAGTCCAATACCGTGACAGGCCATCAGTCAGCGGTTGAACAAAGTCACCCTGATGGCGACAGCAACCTTAGATCAATGCCAATGTCCATATCGGGTTGAACATGATGTCATTGTTGTCGCTTAGCAGCACAATCTCAAACTAGGGCTTCGCGGAGATGTTTGGTAGCATACCCTTATCAGTTGTTACGGCTCAAACACTCGCCGGCTCCGGCCGGACTTTTGAACAATATATAACCGGGCTGATAGACCCCTGGACTTTTGAACCGTTAATTAACATGTTATTAACTTGTTAGTAAACACCGTGTTCATTATTCCGACTTTCAAACTTTACCCTACTCCCGACGAGGTGGAGGATTGATGGAACCGATGGTGCAAGGCCGACAGTCGTACGTCTTCCCGTTACGCATGATGTACAGTGCGCCGGCGGTTGGAGGATAGTCGGCTGGCGGGGAGGGCGCCGGCACACCTGCCAACGCGAGTCTGTTGGTCAGGAACCTCTTGTTGTTCGTAACCTTCTTGTTGTTGGCAAAGAAAGCGGAACCTCCGTCTAGACTGCCCACTGCATTGGCTGGTGCGCCGGACTCGGGACCATTCAAGAGCACGAGTTGGTAGCGGTGGCACATCTTGCCGGTGGCCCCGTGCCACACCGTGCGCTTGTCCTTTGCTACTCGGAGCAAATGAGTGATGGAGGACTGAAGGGTAGCTTGGTACTGCTGCTCGCGAGTAGGAACTCCTGCTACTACCGCGTTACCAGCGCCGCCCTCCAAGGCGGAATTGAAGGGGAATTCGTCACAGGACACCTGTACGTCGCGCTCAGCGAGAAAGGACGTTGTCATGTGGAAATCACGCACCTTCCAATACGCTGGATTGTGCTGGGTGACATCACACTTTCCAGCTGCCTGTAGCGCATCCCGCACCGACTTCGGGCACACCCCGTTCCGCCTCTGACCTTCGTTGAAAGGATCGTAGGTCAGAGTCATAGGGTTCGTGAAGTCCGGATGCGATGCGATGTTTGCGCAGATGTTAGGCAGTAGGTTGCAGTACTACGAGAGCGTTGGCAACGTCGTGGGAGTGTCAATGAGGCCTTGGCCGTTATCGCAGAGGTCTGGGGTGATCGCCGCCTTGGGCTGCGACAGGGGCTGCACCAGGTCCGAGAGAGGGTACGAGGCGTTGGTCATGATGCTGTCATCCGTTGTAGGTGGAGGTCCCTTGGGCGGGACGTATTGTGTACCGTTCAAATGAAGGACGAGAGGCTGCCCGTTGACCCACGTCGGAG